TTACTGTCTACATCAATAAATCATGTTATGGACCACTCTATTTGTTGAAGTTTTATTGTGCTGAACCGATGAACACCTGATAACGAGTGTGACTCAGTTATTTAGGGGCCTCAGATCAAAGTCGTGCTCCTCTAACCCACTAGGCCTAGTGGGATCTACCTACTAGGCCTAGTGGGTTAGAGGAGCAGCACGACTTTGATCTGAGGCCCCTAAATGACTGAGTCACACTCGTTATCAGGTGTTCATCGGTTCAGCACAATAAAACTTCAACAAATAGAGTGGTCCATAACATGATTTATTGATGTAGACAGTAACAATGAGCACAGATACATGGGGGGATGGAGGGGGGTGAAGGTAGATCTTGTTATTGGTGGTTCTTTACTTTAAAGTTACAGTTTGAAACAGTAACATATCTATCAGTAAGAGGCTGATAAAATGTAACGGAACAAGAACAAACTGAGTAAATTCACATAAATCAGCTAAAGCAAACTGAGCCAAGATGAGAAACTAAAGCCAAGTTAAATACAGACAGAATAGTTGGTAAAAGAAAAATCTTTGAAAGAAATGATAAGAGGTTTATACGGCTAAAATAGATCCAGGTTATATCTATTTGGTTGCTCTCTATAACTTGACCACTAGATGGCAGCAAAAAACCACACTAGGATTAAAACAACACGCTCCAGAAATTCAACATTTCTATGATAAAAGCTGAACTATGTGCTGTTGCTTTTGTTCTTCCTTTGCTAGGGGCAGTGAGGTGTTAAAAGTTATGCTTCCTTTAGTGAACCCAGAATCTAAACAATGACTGAGGTCAGCTGGACGTCTCCATCAATCTCCAGGGTGTTGATGTTATGCAGAGGAGTAAAGCGATGGTTGTAGTTGTGGGCCTGCATCCCGTTAACCACAATCCGGAAAGAGCTGTTCTCACAGATGATGGTCAGCTGGAAGAAACAAGGTTCAGAGAGGTAATTTCAACTTTACTGCTGAAATGTTTTTGGGATTTCTACAGAAAGCTAAACACAAACCATGTCCTTAAGATAGACTGAAGATACCTTAGAAAGTAATCATATCTTCAACCTGCTCCATGTCAGCCTTAGAAATCGTACAGATACAGAAAACTAACAGTCTAGCCACAATTTAACAACATTTAGCAACAGCCACCAAGAAGGGGAACCAGTCATGGCTGGGGATAGCCTCTTTGAGTGAAACTGACAGCATGACCTTCTGTTCTAATTTAGCTAATGATTGTTGTATCACTCTATGGCCCTTAGAAATAACACATGGTCAGTTAAGCCTTTAAATACAAAAAAAACAACAAATAGACGATGACATCACAGAGGAAGTAGAGAACCCAGCGCTGAAACAGCCAAACACTGAGTTTCACGCTGCCGACCCATGTATGCACATATTATTCAGAGCAGAGGTGCATCAGCTGTCAGGGAGTTTAATGTTTTCATACCGAGAAAGACTGTCCTCGCTGGAAGGGCATTCCTCCGCCTCGTTCCTCGGAGCCCCACTGCCCATGCTGCTTGGTGTTTCGGACCACCGTGTTCTCGTTGAAACGTGGATTATAATGCAGAGCGATTCCAGTCTGGTGGCTGAGGTTCACATGGAACCTGGGAGGAAACGGAACATGAGACAAAAAAATGTTTTCAATTGACAAGATTTAACTTTAAGCTCGACTCTAACTAGATCAAATCATCAGCGAGGGGGTGAGACATTAGGAGGCGTTATGTCACTTTACAGAACAAAGAGTTCAGTTTGATTCTTGTGGACAAATTGATAAATTAACTGTTGGAAATCTTTATCCCACTGAATTGGACTCAAAAGGATCAGATCTACTCTGGTCAACAAGTGCAAGAAATAAGGAACTGAAAAAGGTTTATGGTCAAACAAGCAGAGCTCAAGGCCTCAAAACACCTGAATGAAATAATCAGTCATCAGCAGGACTCAGGAGAACGGGTAATTTATCCGTTTCATTCAGGGGAGTTGAACAAGGGACATATCTGCTAGTTACCGGCCCTCTGGGACTGGATGGAAAGATGGAAGAATAGAAGGAAGGAAAAATAGACTGAAGGGTTAGTTGACCTTTGAACTGGAGGACTGTAAGAAACTTGGTTAGAAAGGCAGATATGATGGTTAAAACCAACATGGCCGACGTTGCTAAAAGCAGCAATATTGAACTTATGACAGAAGTATAACTGAGCTAGAATAGAATAGAATAGAATAGAAT